CACAGGGCCATGTGCCACAATGAGATATAGGAAAGAAGTTATGCTCTGTGGATATGAGATCCAGCTTCTCATCTGCAAAGCTCACCTTGCTTTACAAGCTGTCAGCTGTTTTCAGCTACAACTACAGCAGCTCCCTCATAACTCAGAAGTGATGACCAAGGACTACAGTGCAGCACCCAGCATTGCAGGATGGGGCAGGGAAGCAGGTAAGAGGGTGATACTGAAGGATAAAAAGCACACCATCAACTAATATCCCTGCTTCCTCTTGGACTAATTTTAGAATTGATGGTGACTGGTTTAGGCTGAGGTTTGAGGTAGGTAACAGGGAAGAAACACAACACAGCTCTTGAGATTGAGATGCTGGCTGACACAGACAGTTCATCAGTCAGCCTGCCCACCCTGCCCCACCCCAGACCTCCTCTGCTCATGAGCGAGGCGCTCCTGGTTTGTACCGCACTGCTCTTCCTTATTACTTCTCAGCATTTTTTTGGAGTGGTTTGGGGTTTTTGTTTGGTTGGTTGGCTGGTTTTGTGACTAGTTGTTGGAGAGTTACATTTTCACTTACACACAATCAGCAATGTGTTCCACCTTTAGCAAATAAACCCAGATCATGGGTTTACCAGTCAGAACTAGAAGCCCTTCGGTGGTCTTTGCATCCATGATCTCCTTCTCCTCTTCTAACACTTAACTTCAGAGTTCCTGACATGACTCCTCAGTGACTTTTCATCTCCTAGCCAACAATTTTAGGACAAGGACGCATGATGGCAACTGTCAAGCTTTCAACCAAGTACTTCTTGGGGAAGAATACTGACTATGAAAAAGCGTGATCTGACAAGCAGAAAGAGAAGAATGGCAGTTTTGTGTCCCTGTTTACTGGGAGTGGGCCCAGGGAGGGGAAATTAGTATCTGACCAAAGCAATTTTACCCTTTAAAATTCTTTTAGGCACCCTCAAATAATGAAATTTTGCCTTTTTTTTTACCCTTCCACTCTTTTCTTCCCGAACAGTACTACTGCTACTGTAACAATGATTAAATGACTAATGCTTGGAGTCCTAAATTCAACTTTTTTTTCTACAACTACGCTACTTCTCAGCTGTTTTTCTTGCACATTTGTTTTCAGGCTTCCTTCTGTTCCCGAAACAACAACATATGGATTTATTCCAAAGGGCTGTTTGCTTTATTTCACTAACTTTATCCTCCTCAATTTCTAACTTTACTCACAGGTTATTTTTCACCCTCACTCACTATCCAGTGCTTGAAACTTTGTGCCACTGTGTCCTGAGCATGCAAACAGCTGAAGGGCCCCGTTACATTGTTCATCTCCCTCCTGCTGCAAAACTGGGGGACACCGCAGGGGATGACAGCAGGACAGGCCAGCCCAGCTCCTTGGTCTCCATTTGACTAATCTCTCTGACACTGTCCGGGAGGGCACCTGCTGCTGGTGAAAACAAAACCCACCGAGGTCTTACAAGCTGGGCAGCAAAACACACGAACAGACAACTGTCAAACTAATTCAGTGAAGTTTGCTCAGGTCTGGACTGCGCATGTGGGGGATTTTGAATTACTTTAGATTATCATTGTTATTTTCATCAGAGATACTGATTGCATTAGTTTTGCATTTTGGAAAGAATCTGAAAGGTCACCGAAGTGATTGGGAAAAAAGCATGAAAATTTTAGTTGATTAAATTTGAAACTTAACCTTTTAAGGTGAGTGAAATCTGAGTCTGAGAATAGTTACAGTATAGCCCAGAAAAGACCCCATTATACAAGGTATTCCCTAGCCCAGTAAAATTACAAATTCCTTTGCACAGCAGACATGCTTTAGAGTTATGTCACATTACAAGGACCAATTTAAAAAAAAAAAGGAAAAAAAAAAAAAGGTCTGAAACCATCACCCATCTGCACAGCCACAGATGCAAAAAACAGCAAAGCTAGTAGAATTTCAAGCACAACCAGAGAATAGGCACCAACAAAGTCACTGAGGAAATAGGTGGGAAAGGGTATCGAGTCCAAGATCTGTTAGGCTGAAGCTCACATTGTTAGGTACCAGAGGCAGGATGAAAAACAAGCCTAAAAGTTCACAGTGAACTTTTTCTCCCCAGCTACTTGCATAAAACTTTTCCTTGAAGAATACTTGGCTTTGTTGTTATCTAGGGTACCGATGCTACAAGCCTCCCAAAGGCCAAGGGGCTGCAAGAGCAGCTCATCGTGCAAATGACTCGCACTCTCCCCTCACGCAGGATCTCGTCATCACCCTCAGCTTCACACAGGTGCACGTCAACTGCAAAAAGCTTTATGCTGAGGTCCAAACACAAGTTCTCTTCTAGCACTGGGTGCTTTGGGATCTGTCTCCCAGGTATCAGCCCTTCCAGAGTCAACAGAGCCTTTATTTGAAGGTGAGGGAAGGAAAGCATCCACAGCAGAGCACAGAATGAAATGAAAGCACACGTGGGGGTAAAATGGCTGCTGCTGGCAGCGTGCCACAGACACATTTCCAACATTCATCACATCTCTCTGCACCTCCTCAGTGGGACTTTTTTGTAAGTCATGATATGCATGGTGCACAGGAATTCTGGGCAATGGCAGAGCTAGCGATGACTTACCAAGCCTTTCACCTCCGTGTTTCTCAAGGAAAGGTCCATGAAGGAAATCTCTGCCCAGCAGCAAGGGGAAAGCCCCACGAAATACTGTGTATTTATCTGCAAGTGAAACTGTAGCTCCTGTTACCCAAGTATTTCCAAGTGCCTTTTTCACCCTTCATCCACACTGGCTTGACCCAGGGAACTTAAGATTTCAGCCAGTTGAGAAGAAAGCTTCTTCTTTCAATAAAGAGCTGAGGGGAGGTGACACCCATCCGTTCAGCCTCACACAGCAAGGCTGCAAGTAACACATTCAATCCTCACGGTGCTGCTGCATCCTGCTCACATCCCCAGCACAGCCCCTTCTAGGACTGGGGAAGAGACTTCCCAGTCATGCCCCACAGCCCCTCTCTGCCCAGGGTGCTTCAGGAGCACCACAAAGTCTTCCCATCTCACACAGGGCTGCTGCAGCGACAGCTGGCCAACCCAACAGCACTGACAAACCAAAGGGAGTTGCCCATGTTACACGTGGCTTTTGCAGCTCTGTCCCCAGCTCACAAAACTTCAGACTTGCTTTTCTTCTTTTAGGAATTGTACTGGTAAAGCACATACATGGATGGAGAAGAAAAGGTCCACTGCTCCTACTCACAGACTGACCCAGAGTGAAGGCTCTACATCAGCTTAAAATGTACAGGCACCTTCACAGCTCCACATCACTGCCTGGATCCTGGGAAGAGGTGAGGGAACGGTGAGTACTCACCTACACATTACGGGTACAACAGAGCGAGAGATGAATACATACACAAGAGCCAGACAAAAACACTTGCAGGGACTGCTTGCCAAAACGAGAACTGTACAATTTGGCATTGCCATAAATGCTGCTCATAATACACTTAAAGAAAATGATGGGATATAAAACCCCTGGAATGCACTGCAAAATTAGGAAGTGATTAGGCCAGATGATACCAGTTTGAGTCTGACACAGCTTTGTCATAATTCCAGAGTTAACAGCAATACTCTATGAACTGGTCCAAAACTGAAGCGGGGAACTTCCTGTATGCTCTGTAGCTGCTAGGCATTGCTCTGTGTGTGGCCCTGCCTGGTGCAGGTAGAAGGACAAAAACGAGAGGGCATAAGACCATTAATACAGCAGGATGCACAACTAAATTTGAGAGGGTTGCATTTGGGTAGGGGCTGTTGTGGGTTTTTTGTTGTTTGTTTGTTTGTTTTCCTCTTTGTTTTTTTTTTTTCCCCCCCTCTCATTTAAGGTACAGAAGTGCAATTGGTTTTGATGCATCAAAACTAGTTGTGATGGACACGGAAAATCATGACTCAGATTTTTAAGTTTTTCTAAGCAAGTGGCAGCCTACCCATACAGCCACTTCAGACCAAACATAGACCCAAACAGTTATAAATCTTCCTGGAGATTTTCCCTTTTGTTCCAGCTGTCAGACTTGCCACAGTGCCTGCTCCAGAGAGTCTTCTTGACCACCACCTGTTCCTCTTCCTTCAAGTGCATTAAGGAGAAAAGCTTTCCAGGACTGTGGACTGGCAGCCACCCCATACAGCTTGACATTCCTCATCCAATATTTCATTCCTCCTATTGTTTGTTAACTGTGGGTAGTGTATTGCCATACATCATAAAGCACTTTACTAGAGCTCTCAGTCTAAAAACAGAGGGTACAGCTGTGCTGTAGGCTGGCATTCTGCAGAAATACCTAAGTGACAGCCAGCAAGCCCAGCATGGTAAGAGAGGTAGCACAGTTATGGAAATAAGGAGCCCTGCATGACCTAATTTACCTTGTTTCTCCTACTGAAGGCCATGCTACCATGGTTGGTGACTCTGTTCACAGACTGAAAGCAGTCAAGGATCACTGCTGTGCATGTCAGTCACTTCAAATACAGTGGGACATCACAGAAAGGTGAACTTGGATTGTCAGTATTACAAGTATGTAGAAATTTGCTAGTTATACAGTGCTTACACAGAAAATCTGCCTCCTTGTGTTAATAATTGTTTTCAGGCTTTCAGAGGAAAGAGAACTTCAGAAAGAGAATGGAAGGAAATAGAGTTGGAATAGGAAAAGAAGCAAGTCAGATCAAACCCAAGATACAGGCTGGACAAACTGAACTATCACCACTGGAAACTGGATGCCCTATGTGAGGGATGACTTTGCTGGATCATGATTGTCACCGTTACGTGCTGCCACAAGGATGTGGCAGGACAGATGAGGGACTGAGCCCAGCAGGGTGTGGGATATGCAGACTTTCCCCAAGGGAGAGGAAGGCTCTAAGCTACTTGTAGATCAAAAGCTGACTTGAACAACTCTGCTCCGGATGGACCACAGGGAAACTGGAGCTCCCAGGAAGGATGTGGCTGCAGGCACGAGGGCAGCCCCTGGCCACTTGGCCAAGGCCACTTACTCAGCACCGACCGCAGCTGAACTCCACCAAATGCGCTGTGCACGTGCCACACACCCTGCAGCTCTGAGCCCATGGTCTCAAGAGAAGATGCTCAAGGTCCTGCCTGCCAGACCCAGCTCCCCTCCACCCAGCCTCTGCCTCACCATCAGCTGTGTTTGCTCCTACTGGCCATGGAGGGCAGGGTGTTTGCAGGTTGGCTAATTGCTTCGGTAAGAAGACACTACCTTTCCCTTCCCTTTCTTTTCAGTGCCCTCCCCTTTGTGTAGGAACAGAGGAAATGGTAACAATAACTATGGGAGGCACTTCCAACAAAGTAAATGGCTTTTCAGGCCTGGCTTGAAACAACTCTGTGACAGCCTTATGCACATCACTAAAGACATCAGCCATTTACTGGCAACTTCTATAATCCCCTTGAAGAGCTAATAGACAAAGCACACTGGAACCCAGTGCCACCAGCACAGCAGCAGAAAAGGCAGCTGCCTGTGGACAAAATGTGTTCTAAAAGGGATTTGAGTTTTAGCATTTTTCCTGACACTCTTCCTTTTGTACTGAGTAAATTTGAGAGCTCATGAGAGCACCGAAGTTCTGGGCTCACTTAAATCCTTACCCTTTAAAGTCTTACTCATCTGAAAAATGAGTAACGAAAAAAAAAAAAAAAGCCTTTTAAGATGTAATTTAAAAGATAAATAAGTTCCAGCATCTATTCATCTCTGGTGTATAGGCTCCCCATTTCAAAAAAAGAGGAAGCCTTCTGTTTGGGAAGGAAGTCAGATGAGAATCATCCCACAGTGCATGATGTAGCTCAGAAAGGTCAGGAGACAAGGGGGATGTCTCAAAGATGTTCTGAAAAAAGAAGAACCAGCTGTGAATGTGTTTTAATGAATCTTTCAAATAATGCTAACATTGTTATGCTAAAGGAGAATGGGGGGAGAAATCAAATCCGTTTGAAAAATGGCAATAGCAACACATCACTTGTAAAGTAAGCTTCATAGACAATGAAATAATAATTCTGCACCTGTGAGTCACAGTTATTTACATCACTCTCATTTTAATAAAGAACTGTATTAAAATGCTAAGATGTTATTGAATACTGAAACTATTGCATATAGTGCACAGGAAGCTTCCCAAGTTTTCCAATTAGCACCAAGGCTTAAGCTTTAAATGCAGCAGAAGCAAAAGAAATGCTGAAAAACACTGCCACAGGCTGGCTTAATTTGGAATTTCTCCTTTTCAAAAGGATTTTTAAAAAGCCAAAAAATAAATATACATATCCAGAAGGGATAGAAAGTACTACTGGATTTTTTTTCCTTTCTACAATTTCTGTCACATACTTTACAAGTGAGTAGGAAGGCATGTTTAAGAGCAACTTATAAATTCGGTTTGATAGAAGAGAGCTTTGACATGTGAACCTGCAGCAGCCTGCTAACCCCATTTTGGATGAGATGCTCAGTTAAGAGTCTGATGTCTCTTGCCTCCATATTGAGAGTAAGTCCCTAGAAAGCAGCATGAGAAATCCCTGTGCCTGCTGTGGGATTAACAAAGGAAGATTTAAAAACGTCGATGATCACCTATCTATACGAGGTGTCTTTAAACAGAAGGATGCCTGCCACTTCAGTGCAAAGCCTTTCTCCTCAGACATGCAGTCCTGGGGGGATGGAGCAGCACCCTGCTGGGAACAAGGAACAAGATGCACTGGTTCTTGGGTGAGGGCTGTGGCCCGCTGTATTTTTGCAAAAAGCAGTACTGACACCTCTTCTCCTGAGGAGCTTCAATGTTAATTATTCCCTAGCATTCTGGTCTTAGAGGGATGTGATTTTTTGGAAACTCAGAAAGACCATCTGCTTTCCCAGCAGCACATGATGGGCCCGGTCAGAGGAACTCCAGCAGAATTAAACAATGCACTGGGAAGGAATGAGGGGAACTGAGGTAACCAAACCACCTCCCTACCTCACCGCCCAAGCTTTTTATCAGTTGCAGGCTCTATTATTACACACATAGAACTCCACAGAGAAAAAAGAAGAGAAAAAAAAAAGAAGAAAGAAGGATTAGGTTACCAATAAAAACAGGGCTCCTCAGATCACCTACACCACTTGCCTTTTATGCACACTGTTCTGTTACAAAAGGCAGGACATCCCCCATCCCAACCACAGCTGACTCCATAGAACTGCTTCCAGGCAGAATAAAACTTGCCTAAACAAACCTGGGCCTAAGAAATCAATCTGGTTCAGATTCTTACACAGCAGAAAAAAACCATACAAAAAGAGATGTTTACCCAGATATTGCCAAAGAGAGGTAAAAAATTGCATGGTGGGTGTGTGTGTGCCCGCAGTAGCATCACGCAAAGAAGTACTTACTTCCACAACTACTCTGGCAAAGACACAGATTAGGCCAATGTCAGGAAAATAAAGCATTTTGAAAATCCTCGTCAGCATAATTTAAAAGCTGTTCACAAAAATGCACTTAATCCATGTCTTAATCCACCTGTGCACCTGACTACACCCAAGGTCCAGGTGATAACTAGTCTTTACGGCACAGATATTGCATCAAGCCAATTTCTGTTTTAGTTCTTTCACCAAAGCGAACACCAGAGTGATTCAAACCAGTTATGAGAGAGGTTACGTAGCCAATGGAGTTACCCAGCTCCATGAATTAAGCAATACACTCTCAGAACTGCTCAGGTGGACATCACCTTGGCACCTTCATTTGCATGCAGGTCATGCTCTCAGTTAAAATCCCACCCTATGAATTTACCATCGTGTGCAGCACATCTGACCCTTCCCTGCCACGAACACACCACCGTGGCTCCGGGATCGCAAAAGCACGGTTAAATCGGATTATAACAGCACCCCCGCGTTTTCACTGCCATTACAGGCACGGTTATCTTTCTGCATGCCGATGTCAGGGCCTGGCTCGGCTGCAAGCAGGCACCGGGCAGCTGCGGGCTGTAGAGCACAGGCGGGCAGGAGGAGGAGGAGCAGGAGGAGGTGG